ATGTAAAGGAAATATTTCAGACACTGGATGAGAAGAGCGCAGGACAGTGGTCTAGAGGCAGGTAGCAAGTGAGGGGAGGCCCAAAGCTGCCCCAGCTCAGAGCCTGCAGAGCTTCCAGGATACAGTGATGAGGAGATCCAGGCAGAGAGTGAATTAAGTTAAGGAAACAGGGATAAAATTTTGAGGAGGGAAAGGCAGCTATAAATCTAGGGCCACAGTATAAAGAGAAGGTTCCTGCACACAGAGAGAACTCTGGAGATCTTCATGGGTGTTTGCTGAACTCTTTGCACAGGCACTAATGAGTATATGCACATGAGGAAACTATCCAGGCTGGATAAGAACCATGGATAGGGGAGCAAGCTGAACAATCCCCGGGGTCACTCAAGTGGGTCATTCTGTGTCCGCAGAAGTCAGAATGTAAAACCTCCTACCTGGTGGGTCATGCTATAGAGTCCTTAGAAATGTATTGCCCCACTAGCAAAGCCACATTAGCCTATCCTGGTCCTGCCTTACAAAGCTTTTATAGTATCCTCAAAAGACCAAGCTCTTTAAAGCAACTGCATCATTTTAAAAAGTCTAAAAATATTTAAAATAATTCTGTGATGGTTAATTTTATGTGTCAACTTGTTTGGATGAAGTGATGCCCAGATAGCTGGTCAAACATTATTTCTGGGTGTCTCTGTGAGGATGCTTCCAGAAGAGATTAGCATTTGTATGGTAGACTCAGTGAAGAAGATCCACCCTCACCAATGTGGGCGAGCATCATTCAATCTGTTGAGGGCCGAAATAGCACCAAAAAATGTGGAGGAAGTGTGAATTTTCTTTCTCCCTCCTTGACCTGGGACATTCATCTTCTCCTGCCCTTGAACATCCAAGCTCCTGCTTCCCAGGCCTTTGGACTTGGACTGCATTATACCACCAGCTTTTCTGGTTCTCCAGCTTGCAGACAGTAGATCATGAGACTTCTTGGCCTCCAAAACTGTGTGAGCCAATTCCTATAACAAATCTCCTTTTATATATAATATAATATTGGTTACAGAAACAATGGGATATATGTATATTACATATAATAGGTCCTCTGGAAAACCCTGACTAATACAAATACACACACACACACACACACACACACACACACATATATACAGTCTACCAACCACCAACATAAAATTAATGATGTCTAGCCTCCAGGCCCAAATTACAAGGTATGCAAGAAGTCCAATTCATGACAAGGAGAGATACCAGTCAATAGAAACAAACCCATAAGTGATACTTATAAAAGAATTAGTAGACAAGGACTTGAAAATAACTATTACATAAATAACTGAGATGTGAAAGACATAAACTGAGCTGAAAAATCAAAGCACCTTCACATTCTCATTAAAATTAGAATGGTAGCATAGCACAGTGGTTAAGGTCATGCACTCCAGGGCCAAGTGGCAAGTTCTAGTCCCAGCTCTGAAAATTACAACTGTGGAGTCCTGCTCCAGTGAGGAAAACATGCTGGACCTTAGTTTTCTATTTTGGAAAATAGTGATTGTAATAATACCTTCCTTGTAAGTTTCTATGAAAACAAGTGACTTAATATTTGTTATAAACATAGAAGATATTTCAGGGCTGTATAAATACATATGAAATAACTGAAAGACACATAAGCCAGTGACCTGCCATAAGCAGAGTAAGTAGATAGCTCTATTTTACCTCCTTTATTGCTGAGATTTCAGCTGCACTTAACACTGAAATTCTGGAGAGCAGTCTGTATTTCTTTTCTCTGCATCTTCAAGGCCTATTCTATTGCCCAGAGAACAGGCAATGTTCTCTTAGTGGAAATTTTTGTTATTGATACTGTTTGTTGTTTAAAGGTTTTATTTTTTATAATCACAAATAATTGCAGCTGATGAGCATCAAAGCCATCACCTATAGAGACTGTGCTCCAACTCAGGCATAGGTCCCCACTGTGTAGAGAAGAGTGGCTGCTAGGAGAGCTGGTGGCAAATGCAAGAGCATATGACAGAAATCTTAAAAGTTCAAAGTCCACACTGGTGTCAGAATCAGGGCCAGAGTGGTCTTAGGCACAGCAACTCCTGCAGCCACAGGGCACACACCCAATGTTCCTGCCGTCTTCCTGCTGGCTTTGGGGAACCCAGCAAAGGCAGCTGGTTCCAGAATTGGTATTCCGAGTCTATTCATTTAGATACACAAGCTTTATGTGTTGTTGTTAATGTTTCAGTCAAATCTCTTTTCTTTTTTAAAAAATTAATTAATTTATTTATTTTTGACTGCATTGGGTTTTTGTTGCTGCATGTGGGCTTTCTCTAGTTGTGATGAGCGGTGGCTATTCTTTGTTGCAGCATGCGGGCTTCTCACTGCGGTGGCTTCTCTTGTTGTGGAGCATGAGCTCTAGGCATGTGGGCTTCAGTAGTTGTGGCACATGGGCTCAGTAGTTGTGGCTTGTGGGCTCTAGAGCACAGGCTCAGTAGTTGTGGCACACGGGCTTAGTTGCTCCGTGGGATGTGAGATCTTCCCAGACCAGGGCTCAAACCCATGTCCCCTGCATTGGCAGGCGGATACTTAACTGCTGTGCCACCAGGGAAGACCCTCAAATCTCTTTTCAACTTCAACCTTTATTTCTTGTTTTAGATGTTTTGCTTATAAAATGCATATAATTAAATATTGTTTACTTTTTCCACTCTAATAAGTCATTTAACTGGAAGATTTGGTCCACTTACACACTTACATTGAACATAAGTACTGATACGTTTATATTTAAATAGACCATATTACTTTGTGCTTTCCATTTGTTCCATCTGTTCTGTGTCCCCTCTCTTTTCTCCATCCTTGAATTCTTTTTTTTTTTTTTTTTTTTTTTTTTTTT